TGCTTCCAAATGAATTTCATGTAAGATGCTGAATACTTCGGGGTGACAAAGAGCTGTGATACCAAATGTTTCCTCTCCTCATCCCCATCATTTGCCTTATGGTTGTTTTAAGCAATATTTAAAGATGACATCTTCGCTACAGGGAAAGGATAGCGTGTGAAATGGAGGAATAAGGTGACACATTGCAGTTTGGGGTTCCTCTTCTGTTCAAATAATATTGTCAAAGATACAAGAAAGAACAAAAAGCAAAACTTCTTCATCTAGATGTAGAAAAAGGTGCAGCTGTTTTATTCTAGAAAAAAAAAGTTTTCAAGTCCTTTCAGAGTAATAAGCAATTGATAGGGAAACATCTGTGTAAAAAAATTCTTAGTAATTTTAATACTTTATTTCATGTCTGAAGTGTGCAAGTTTTATAAATATTTTTTTTTGCCTAATACGAATGTAATTTATATTTGAAGGATGGTGGTTCAGACGTACAGTGGAATCATCGACGTAGTAAGGTGTTACATAGTGGAGAACCAGTTAAACTGGGCCCTGGCCCTCGAGGGCCACCAGGAGTGGATCTTTGCAGTGTGCGTGGGGTCAGTACGGCCGCAGCCCCCAGGAAGCCACGGGATAAACCACGGACCGACCCACCCAGGGCTCTCTGCAGTTGGGCTTCATTTGCGGCCGCACCGGGCAGGTGAGACCACCCCCCAAAGGGAAACACAGGCTTTACCTGTCAGCATTACCTGCGTGAAGACAAAACACAAGCGCAATATTTGTGTACGCGATGCCAAAACATGCCCCGAACTCCCGTGTGGTGCAGGTTCCTTACAGGGAGCTTCTCCCAGACGTGGCTGTTCGGGGTTGGGGTGGAAGCAGCAAGCGCCAAACAGCAAGGAAGCTTTGGGCTGGGCAGAGAAAGGGTGGCAGGGCTGCAAGGTACTGGAATGCCAGCAGAAATAAACACTCTTGTTCAGCAAATACATCTAAAGTTAACGTAGGGTTTGGAAGGAGAAAAGTAGTTTTCTGAAGGACAACAATGCATTGTGGTTTAGGAGGTCATTTTACCAAGACAGTGCAGAGTACCTTCATGCAGGCGCATTTTTTTTTTTTTTTCCCAAGGAGGCAGGTGGAAAAAAGCAATTTACTATATAATGCCTTACATTAGCTAGGGTATACCTTGACTTTATAGGGCATCTTTTGTTAAGTTTTTAAGATCTAACTAGAAATTAACAGAAACCAGGAATCAAATGACAATTTTAATAGACTTTAGAACAGAGTGTACGAGTATAAAACACTGGTTTTGTATTTCAAAAGTTGCAGGAAGATAGCCAGTCATTTTAAACAGTCTTCTACAAAACATATGCCAGTAGATTACATAAAAGACACTATATACAATATAAAAGAGCAGAAAACAATCCTCACTGTAAAAATAATTTAAAACAAAGTATTTCAATTTAAAATATCTCCTATAGCACAAACTAATACGTTGTGACATGCAAGTGAAAACTAAACATATTGCATTCTTTAGTGTAGCCAAATAAGAGCTGTATTAAATTTGGACAATGAGACAACATGCCAACATTTTCTCGTGAACACAGGAAGCTGTTCTTAAATATTTATTAACTGATGTATCTTATGTTCAAAGAACAGCTACTATACATCTTCCAAAATGTAATAAATATTAAAGCAAAGTATATGAATAATCTACATCGTAGAGTTCATTTGGGCCAATGTTGAAAAAGTGGTTTATAGAAAAATGCTGTTTCACTTACTACTGCACTGTGCAATTTTACAAAATAGTTCTAAAGGCTTGGAAACAATCTGCACTTGAAAATTTGCAACATCCAGTTTTAAGGCAGCCTAACACTTGAATATACAATGTAATAATTTGAGTAGCTGCTTTGCTTTTAATATGCAAGGTGGAGCTAGCAGGTGGAAAATTATTTTCCTAACCTGAGATATGACCTCAAAGCAGCGTGCTTCCAGGTTAGGTTATTAATCTGTGTTTGTTTTATCCACTCAGCAGTGTAAGCAGAGGCCCTTGGTATCTGAGCTAGCTTCTCCTGGTTTCGTTGCATCCATAAGTATAAAGGAAGAGCTTATTTTTTGCACCTTCTCACATGCTGGTAGAAACACTATTCTGAACTCAGCCTAGCTTCCACATCAGAGCCTTGGCAATTTATCAAATGCTATTTTCAATGCAAGCTGTGCTATATTTGACTTTTGTATGCAATGTGAAAAACTTCTACCGTGGGGGATCCATTTTGTTTAAAATGCCAGTATTATAATTGCTAAGGAGCCAATGTCAACATCGCTTCATGTCCACAGGAAGTATTAAACTCAGCAACCTAAGCATTTTCACAGCACTTCTTGATCAGTCTAAAAAACATAGGATTTCTCAAGTGCTCACTGTCTTGTTTCCATTTAACTATCTACTCACATTTAAGTATGTCTCAAACATACAAAGTAACTGTTAAAGCAAAAAAATTAGCTGCCACAGTAGGTCTTAGAAAATGCCAGTGTTTAATGACAGACTAGGCGAGAATGAAAGGTTTAGCAGAAGCCTAAGAAGGTTTTAAATAAACCAAACTGTTACAAAGCAAGAGGTGTGAAAATACCATTCTTTGGTCTAAATTAGCTGTTCCCTTTATATTAGTTTAACATTCCAATGGCTTTTTCGAAACTGTTTAAAAATAACATAAGCTGAAATTCATTAAGCAAAAATATGTATTATATACACGGATGCCTGATCAGACAGATGAACTTAAAAGTGAACATAGTGACAATTGTTTAGATATTCCTAGTACCTTTAAAAAAAAAAAATGAGTTAGTGTTGAGTGCGCAGTAATAGAATTTATTGAAAAAGGTAAAAAACTAAGCATGAAAATCTGTTTTAGTTGTTTATAAACACTACATCCTTATGGTTTTGTTGCTCTAAATTCAGACGTAAACATTCATTCTGACATGCCAAAGCTCCTAATGCTGGTGGAAAGTTCCTGTAACCAGTCAGTGATCACTTTACAACTTGTTGCTTGGATGATCAGTCCCTGCAGCTTCATTTGCATAAGCTGATTCATCGGCTGCCGATTCATCTTGTTCAACTCCATCTTCCCCGAATCCAGGTTCCTCTTCCCTTTCAGGAGCATCCTCATCCTCTATGCCATTGTAAAACTCTTCGATCTCACTCTCATCCTCCACATCTAAGCTCTGACTACGACATGAACCACTTTCACTACTACTCCCGCAAGAGCTAGAAGATATGATATCATCTTCAGAATCTGAGTAAACCTCAGCACCGTGGAAAATATAGCGATTTGGTGGCAAAAATAGATACTGAGTACCTGAAACAGAATTTTAAAAGTCAATAAAAGGCTAAAATAAATTATTCATACAAGGTCTTGCAGACTTCTGGTTAGAAAGTACCTACCTGCATGTATGTATTTTCAACAGCAAAACTTAACTGACAAATCAGGTTACATTAGAACGCATTTATTTCAATGTACGTGTATTTATTATGAAGCACATAAACGCTTCGCTGGAACGCTCAGCATTCCTTCTCCTCCCTCCCTTTGACAAAAAAGAGCATTTAAACTTCAGGGTTTAGCAGTTTTTTTCATTGGTACACATATTCACAGCTAGATTTCCATTATTTGTAACAGAACTGGAACCCACTGCACCAAGTACTTGACAAAGTTTAAAAACAGCCTTTGCTTTGGAAAGTTGCAATTTAATACCTCGTTCTTCATCCATACTGATTTTCTAGTGTGATAACTCCTTACATCAGTTAAGAGACTGCATACTGGAAGGCTTCCTTGGAAAGTCTAAAGTTTCCTTCAAAATGTGCCTGGCTCCAGCTGCGAAATCTGCTTTTTCAACTCCTATCGTGACTTCACCTTTCAGTTCTACTGCCATACCAAATTATGACCTAGTGTGACCAGCTTCTCAACACTCGAGGATCAAACTAATTTTTCTGAAAATGCATTTGAAAATGTTAGAAACCCATTTATTTTTTTATACATACCTTCAACCTCCTAAACTTTGATCTTTTTAGGGAGTATGTAATCACTGATTATAAAAGCTATTATGAATTACAAAAAAAATTTCCTATTGGCTTCTCCAAAAGAAATAAACGATACAATGATGAGTTACGTAGACACTTGTCTGAACAAAAACAACCACCAAAGCCCACTGATTCCCTCAAGGGTAACTTACTTATTGCTTTAAAGTAAGTCTAGAATAAACATCTTGGCCAAAAAATGCAAAATACTGAAATGAGTCAAAACTTACCATCCAGCCTTTTGCTAATCTGTTCTTTCGCAGATCTGTTTACCCAGCACTTCTTCAATATTTCATTTTTTTCTTTATTTTCTCCATTGTTAGATCCATTTTCCTTCATTGTTTCAGAGTTCATTAATTCACTAGTAGGATTTTCAGGGTTTTCTGATGTCTGTGTCTCCTGAAGCTTTTCCTCTGTGCAGGTCCCTTTAGTTTCTGAGGCAGGATCACAGTTTTCTACCTTACATTCAGCTGGGTGTTCTGAAGACACCACCGAAGTATCTGGTGGAGTCATCCTTTCTGGTGAACTAGAGTCTTCCGAAATGTTTAAAGGGGTAGGCGGTAGCTCGGCTGAGTGTATTTCAAGCTCCTTGTGCGTTCGGGGAGGCTTTTCTGTTATTTCTGAAAGTTTTACTGAGTTGTAGCAAAGTTTTGTGTATTCGCTACCTAGCCTTTGACATAATTCATTAATAATAACATCACAGTCTCCAAGAAGCTCCACGTCAAAGTGTAGATGAGGCAAAGGTTCCCTATTAATTAAGATCTGAGGCACTTCATGGGGGATGGAACCTACAGAGAGAGAGAATTTAAAGGTAGTCACTACAGTTTCACTTTCAGCAGAGATCTTAGACAGTTTGATTCCTCAGACTTCTCTTCATACATTCACTTGCAACAAGACCAAAACAGACAGATCAGGAAGAAGACAGGCAAATCTCAAATTTAACAATAGCAGTTTGAGGTGCTATGCCTACTGTAGCCTATATAGATTTTTTCCTCTGTTTTTTTCCAGCAAAAAGTGTTCCTCTCCTCCATCACCAAGAAACACATGCACAGAAATGTTGACTACAGCAATGTTTGGTCAAGTGTTAAAAAGATTATTAAAATTAGTACTATAATCTCTTAGAAGAACTGTGTTGATTTTGTGTATTCATTTTATGTCCTTAAGTGCACATAAAGAATATACTGCTGGTAAATGACATCCCATTAATTAGGTCAAAATACTTCCAGGTATGGTCTACACTGTACAGGGTTGCTCAACCCATTTCTGACATTTAGGCTTCCAAAACCTGCCAGTTTGGTAACCTAGCATCGATTCTTCAGATAACCAGCTGATGAAATCCAGTTCTAGGACACAGAAAGAGCAACGGTTTGTGTAGTGGATCCTAACTTTGCAGTCCTTATGCGTTTCCCATCAGCCCAAACACTAGGCTCTGCCTCTTGTACAGCAAAGAGGATGTTACTACAAAGGCCATGGGTGCGGTACTGTTCCCAGTTAAGAGGAGCTGCTAAGCCCATGTGCTTCTCAGGCTTACACCTGAAGAGAATTTCTTCAGTACCAGTAGCTCTCGCACTCAGTAGGCAAATAAATTGCCTGTCATGGCATTTTCTCAGCCTTCCCGAAGGGCGTTTTTCTATAACATATATTAGCAGAGATGTTTTTCTGTATCACTTTTAAAAGCTAAGGATCCAAATGGTGACACACTATATAATGCCCACTGCGTATCATTTAGTATTAAGTACTGACTTTAACATAAGCTACAACTCAGACACCTGATGTACTTGATCTGATTTTTTGATGCTACGTTTATCTTTTTAAAGATGATTCCTTTCTAAATCTTTCAAGTAACTCTGAAAGCATACTGCAAGCAGGGAGAGAAATGAACTGAATCTCAGAACAAAGTCAAGTTTTAGGAGAGTAGTTTTTCACATTATCATTTCACATTGAGATCTGCCTGAAGTGTAGAAAAAGCACTTAGAATTTGTTACTTTCTCTATTTTGCATTTCAGCTTTACATAGGCAATCAGTTTTCATCTTAGAAAACTAGATGCTTAATCTAGTTTTGTCACTGAATCAAGCCTAAAGCATTTTTTAGAGCTCTTAACTGAGAATTTCACTTTTGATCCAAATTTTTGGAAGAAAATATTACCAGAGATAGTCACTTACTTGGAATCAATGCTACTGGTCTTACTTTCAGTGAAGACCCAATAACAATAAGGAGATCAACTTCATTTTTGTCGTACTTCATGGCACGATGGAACTGCTCAGGTAAGTTCTCTCCAAAGAACACTATGTCTGGCTTCATGATAGCGAGCGG